TGCAAGCCAAATGGCTCGCGTTAGAGCAGGCGAGGCGAGCAGTTTTGCTCGCGTTGAAGCACGTGAAGCAAAGGCTTACGCGAGGTCAAGCTTGCGGCAGAGCCAACGGCGCAAGGGTTGAGGCGAGGTGGAGCATGCGGTAGAGCTCGCGGCGCATGGGCTATAGCGAGAGTTCCGGATTTTAAAAGCCTATTTCATCTCCTTGTTGGCTATGGACTTGGGCTATTTCGTTTTGATCTTTTCCTACACATATAAATAGTCATTAAATATTACTTTTGAAGGAGTTCGGTGACCAGAGGCAAGAATAGCACGTGGAACAATTTTTGGGTGAAAGAATCATCGAGTTCTACATTCCTTCATCTTTTCGTTGTAACTTGTTTATGCAAAATGTTTGAGAAACTGTTATTATGAATATGAGTAGCTAAACTTCTAATATAGGAACCTATTGTAAGATGATTTTCCTATTACGTTTAATATTGATTTTCCGTAGCTTTTTCTCTACTTGTTCAACTACGTTTATATTGTGGTTGATTGAAGAGATCTCAATTGACTGTGCCTATTTAGTGTGTATTGCTTGGAAGAGAATGCATATTTAGGTAGTTGTTGAACAACATCACTCCTAACGTATGTGAGGGATCAATATGGAGGGTTTAAAGGTGGGATCGGGAATAACGAAACCTTGGTGCGATCCGAGTGAGAAGTGACTTAGTGCCAGCTAGCGTTGTTCGGAAGAATATGTCAGTAAATTGTGGTAGTTGCTCGGAAAAGAATTACGACACTCAAAGTACTCACGATCGGTAGAGAAAACTTAGGCAAATTTATACGAAACATAGCGGAGAGGATTCCAACAATAGGGAAAATCATAACCTTAGACCATTCCAATTCTTGTCTACAAACTATTCATCGTTAGTCATCAGTTACTGCATTTTCATTACTTGGTCTTTAGTTAGTAGACATCCAATTCATTATTTATATTTCTTATGATTGATTACTTGAATTTGTGCAAGTCTAGTAGTTGTGCTTAGTAGTTTAATTCTCTGTAGGAACCGCTAGACCTCTTAGGAGGCATAGTTGGGCATGATCAAATTTTGGCGCCGTGCTAAAAGAAGTGTTAGAATTCTTAGTTTTTCTTCATTTTAAACTATGTACATTGAAATTCTAATGTTTGTAGCCTTGGGTGTTACAGGTGCATGCCTAGAAACTCCTTAAGAACTGGTGAATTGTTCGAAGCATTATTAGATCCTGAGAAAGTTTTCAAGGCATTGAATCGTGCAAACAAGAAGGACAAACAACAACAGAACTCAACAGAACAAATCTAACTAGACATGGGTGACGTAATAGAAAACCCAAACAATCAGGGTGTGGCACCTCTTGTGCCAGAAGCGGCCTTGTATGATTGTGTAGAACCCACCACTAAAAATCTGGCAACCGCAATTGCAGTCCCTCAGATACAACCGGAATCATTTCAAATCACAAATAACATTTTACATTTGTTGCAGAACAAGGGACTGTTCTCGGGGTATTATATTGAAGATCCTCAGCAACATCTGAAAAATTTCCTGTCGATATATGTCACGCAAAGGTAACCAAATGTGACACCGGAAGCAATAAGGCTGTCACGACTCCGGTTCGCCCTCCGTGAACATCGCGATGGCACCTAGTCTCTACGACTAGGTAAGCCTAAAATGCGGAAAATAAACCAAATTTGCGGAAGAAAAATAAGTTAAAAGTGAGGTAGAGTAAATAAGCAATGTTTAAGAGTGCCGCCTGGCATACACAACATTAATCTCTCAAAAACTAATACATGAATCCAAGACCCGGAAACCCATGAATCACAAGCTAAGAAGTACTACATAGCTCTAACTTCAGAATGACTAACAAGAACTGAAATACATAAGGGCTAATACTAAACAGCAAGAGTAGAAAGAGACTCCTCGGTCTGCGGATGCGGCAGATATACCTCGAAGTCGCTATAGCAGTCGCCTCGCCTCAAGGGTGGTAGGACTGAGTCGGAGTACCTGGATCTGCACATGAAAAACATGCGCAGGAAGGGCATGAGTACACCACAGTGGTACTCAGTAAGTGCCAAGCCTAACCTTGGTTGGATAGTGACGAGGAAGGTCAGAGCCCTACTGAGGTTAAATAAGATATAAGCTTTAACAGTGTGAAATAAACAATGTAAATAAGTAACACAGGATATGAAGGACAACAACAACTATTACAAAGGCAAGTAAAACACAGAAAGAGAATACAGCTCAACTCCGAGATAACAACCGGGGATCTCCCAGGATACCGTCCTGTAGTCCACAAATATAAATATCATATCCAGTGGATCTTCCGGGTGCAGTCCCATAGTCCAACTCATTAATGCGCGGGGATCTATCGGAATACCACATCCGTAGTCCCAAATATAAATACTCCGTACTGGGGAATCTACCGGGTGCAATCCCGTAGTTCCAATGTAAAAGTGCAGGGGGATCTCCCGGAATGCAATTCCGTAGTCCCAAAGTAAACATACAGGGGAGCTCCCGGGATACCGTCTCGTAGTCCCAAAGTAAACATATAGCAGCAACAAGAACTCAATTCAATCAATTTCATACCAAAGTCAGACAGATAATTCTAACCTAGCATGCTTCACGTAATACATATAAGGCAGTTAAGTCAAATAGAACAATTTAGTCAAGTAGACATGCTTCTCTAGACTAACAGCAGGCTAAATTTCCAAGTAGTGTAAGCAAGAAAAGAAGAACACAATTCCAGACTATTTTTAATGAAATAAAAACCGGATTTCCAACAATTAGCACAAGTACGCGCTCGTCACCTCACGTACAAGGCATTTCAATTATCACAATTTCAATCCTAAGGGGAAAGGTCCCCCACACAAGGTTAGACAAGCCACTTACCTCGAACCGGCTCAAATGTCAACCCGAAACCACGTTCTTGCCACGGGTATCTGACTCCAAATGGTCCAAATCTATTCAATTAAATTTCATAATGTAAATAACACTTCAACTAACTGATTCTACAATTAAATTCTAAGCTAAAATGCGAAATTAGGTAAAATGACCAAGACTCCCTCCAGGCTCACATCTCGAACTCGATAAAAATCACATCAACGGAATACGTATCTTCCCACGAGTCCATACATACCAAGAACACTGAAATCGGAGTCCAAATGACCCCTCAAATTCTCATTTTAAAGCCTCTTAAACTCAAGCCCTAATTCTTCTATTTTAGGCCTAGCTTCCATGATTTACTAGGTAGATTTCATATTAGAAACGAGTTTTAAGACCAAGAATCTTACCTCCAAGTGATTCCCTTCAAATCCCTCTTCAATCCCCTCCAAAGAGCTCCAAAAATGATTAAAATGGTGGAAATATAACCCTAAGGTCGCGGAACATGTTTTTAAAACATTTCTTCCCAGTTGTTTCTGCATCTGCGGTAAAGGGAGCACATCTGCGGTCCCGCACCTATGGAAGAATGTATCGCAGGTGCGAAAAGTCACTTAACGGGCGAGGTACGCATCTGCGGTCTCTTGGCCGCATCTGCGGCACCGCATGTGCGAAAACCCAGCCGCACCTGCGAAATCCTGGAGCTTGGTCCAAACTCGCTTCTGCGGCCACTTAGCCGCTTCTACGGCGCCGCACCTGCGGAACCCAAACCACAGGTTCGGTTATGACAGAACCAGCAGCTGAAGCTGCAACTTTAACTCCAAAATTTCCTCCGTCAACCACCCGAAATCATCCCGAGGCCCCCAGGACCTCAACCAAAGGCACCAACAAGTCTAATACCACTACCCAAACTTGTACCAATCCTTAAAACACCTAAAACAACGTCGAAACCCCAAATTAACCATGGATTCAAGCCTAAGAATTCCAAATTTCTCAAAATACGCTTTCGATCAAAAAGTCTATCAAACCTCGTCCGCATGACCTGAAATTTTGCACACATGTCACATTCAACACTACGGAGCTACTCCAACTTCCGGAATTCCATTCCAACCCTCGGATAAAAATCTCATAAAACTGGAAACTTCAAAAATTCATCTTTCGGCATTTCAAGCCTAAATTAGCGACGGACCTCCAAAACACAATCTGAATACGCCCCTAAGCCCGAAATCACCCAGCAGAACTAACGGGACCATCGGATTTCCTTTCCGAGGCCGTCTTCACACTATTCCGACTATGGTCAAATTTCAAGACTTAAGCTCTCATTTAGGGACTAAGTGTCCCAAAACTCTCCGAAATTCAAAACCGAACATCTCGGCAATTCAAAATAGTAGAAATAAACATGGGAAAGCAATTAATAGGGGGATCGAGGCGTAAATTCTAAAATCGACCGGCCGGGTCGTTACAAAGGCTGTTGTTGTTTCCATTCTCAGTGACGGGAAAGGCTCAGACTTGGTTCAATTCACTCCCCATAAACTCCATCACTATTTGGGAGGAATTGGTCAAGCCATTTTTTAACAAGTTCTACCCACCCAATAAGACTGCCAAACAAGTTGATGAGATATTGAGCTTCAGGCAGAAACCAACTGAAACACTACAAGAAATGTGGGAGAGTTTCAAAGGTATGCTGGTTAAGTGTCCACACCATGGCATTCCAGATCAGATGTTGGGGAAAAGGTTCTACACGGGATTGGCAGACAGCTTGAAGGCCAATGTTGATGCTTCAGCAGGTGTAGCATTTTTTAGCAAATCATTTAGAGAATGTAAGGTCTTACTTGATAAAATAGCTCAAAACTCAGGATGTATGACAAGAGACTCTACAATCACTCCTATCGTTCACTCAGTAGCTTTGGACCCAAACAACTCCATCGCCGAGAATATGGCCACTCTGATGACGCAAATGAGTATCCTCACCAAAAAGATAATGAATCAGGCCAGAAGCAGGTACACATAGTTGACACGACTAATGGAGGCTTATGTACACCATGTATTAACCAACCATATGTATGCTCGTGGAGTGGTGGAAGTGATAACCAGAACTATCAAGAAAATATGAACTATGTGGGAAACTATGGAGGACAGAGGCAATGTGGTCAGAATTGGGGGCAGCAGAATCAACAGTATAGACCAGCACAACAGCAGTACAATAATAGCAACAATCCTGGAGCTATGTTACCACAGGGTCAAGTTGTGCCTTACCAAAGGCAACAGGGATACAACCAACAAAATCAGCAGCTAGCTTACCAACAGCCTCAACAACAACAGATAGTGAGACAAGATGATGGGTTCTCTGAAATTAAAGGAATGCTGCAACAACTGACTGGGTCCAATGGAAAAATGCAAGAGAGAGTAGACGCATATGACTCAGCGATAAAAGGCATTGAGATTCAATTAGGGCAGATATCCATGGCTCCGAATAACCTGCAGACACACGTGTCAATCCAAAAGAGTGGGGCCCGAAGCAGCTTATGACGGTGAGTCTAAGAAATGGTAGGGATCTAGATCTGGAGCAAGAAATTGCTCGAGAAAGCGACCAACTGAAACACTTGTGCCAGTACCTATTGAGGTAGATGATTCAACATGGTTAACTGAGGTAACGATACAACATGCACAAGAGGACACAAGAAAAGAAAAAGAGGTTTCAAAGGAGACTGAGGTAGTGCAAGAAACAACTGTACAAGTAGTGCCCGAGCAGGATCAAACTCAAATCACAGGAAGGAAGCGACCTCCTGCACCCTTCCCACCGAGATTGATCAAATATCAGAAGGATGAGCAGTACAAGAAATTCATGGAGATGTTGAAGCAAATCCAAGTGAACATTCCACTGATTTATGCATTGAGGGAGATGTTTGGGTATGCAAAAATGATGAAGGATTTGATATCTCGCAAGTTCGACTTTCAAGACTTGGCCACTGTTACACTAACCCAGACCGATAGTGCTGTCGTGATAAGACCCATAGCTGAGAAGTTGTCAGACCCAGGGAGTTTCATAATCCCATGCATAGTCGGGAGCTACGCTTTTGCTAAAGCATTGTGTGATTTGGGGGCGAGCATACACTTGATGCCCTTAACTATCTATAAAAGGTTAGGCATTGGAAGAGCAAGACCCACATCCATGTTACTACAGCTAGCCGACCGGACGATGAAGAGGCCATCGGGTATTTTTGATGATGTACAGGTGCAGGTTGGAAAGTTTGTGTTCCAAGAGATTTTGTCATTCTAGACTGCCGGGTTGACGAGAAGATTCCCATAATTTTGGGAAGGCCATTCTTAGCCACCGGGAGAGCTCTAATTGATTGTGAAACTTGAGAGCTAAATATGAGACTGAACGATGAAGAGATAATGTTCAATGTACAGAAGTCTATGCGGTGACCAAGTGAATTTGCTATCTGCTATCTGATAAAAGCTGTGGATGTGATTTTGGAGGAGGAAGATGAGGCTCTGAATGCTAAAGACCCTCTATGTAACGACCCGATTGGTCATTTTGAGTATCTGCACTTCACTCGATTTAGAATCAAATCTGTGTTTTGAAGCCTTTAGAGCCTCATTCTAGCCTTCCTTGATTTGCGTGCGCAGTCCGGGTATCGACCCGGGAGGCTTATATGCTAAAAAACTGATAAAAACAAGAATTTTTGCCTAAAAAGTTAATTTTAGTTGACTTCAATCAACGTTTTGAGTAAATGGACCCGGACCTGTGTTTTGACGGTCCCAGTGGGTCCGTATTAAGATATGGGATCTGGGCGTATGCCTGGAGTCGAATTCCGAGGTCCCTAACTTGAGTTATGAATTTTTATTGAAAATTAAAAGTCTGAAAAATCTAATGTTTTTAAGAATTAATTGAATGTTTGGCATTGTTGATATCGGGTCCGTATTTTCATTCTGGAGCTCGGTACAGGTCCAATATAATATTTTTTACTTATCTATGAAATTTGGTGGGAAACGGAGTCGGTTAGACGTGATACGAACGTCCGGTGGTAAAAATAGAGATTTCAAAGCTTTCTTGAAAATCTCAATTGATTTGGTGTCCAATTCGTAGTTCTAGGTGTTATTATTGTGATTTGATCGCACGAGCAAGTTCGTATGATGCTTTTAGACTGGTGTGCACTTTTGGTTTGGATCGAGGGGCTTGGTTGTATTTTTGGATCATTGGTTAAGAGACTAGTAAAGTTAAGAAATTTGAGAGTTTGACCGTGGTCAATATCGGGTTAAGACGACCTCTTTTCAGTGCTTTGAGTGAGCGAACAGGTCCGTAGCGTGTTTTATAATTTAAATTCATATATGGTATGTGTCTGGGAGGTTCCGGATGAGTTTCGGATCATTTCGGAGAAGTTTGGGTTTTGCTGGTTTCTAGTGCGACACTGTTCATTTGCAATTGCGAACCTTTTATGGCAATTGCGAAAACACTGTTCATTAGCAATTGTGAACCTTTGATGGCAATTGCGAATACACTGTTCATCCACAATTGCCAACCATTTATGGCAATTGCGAAGACACTGTTCATTTGCAAATGCGAAGTTTTGTTCGCAAATGCGACATCTGCAGCCTGTTAAGTGCTAAGAATTCCGAGTTTTTGCTTCATTTTCATATTTTTGAACCCTAGCTTCGAGGTGAGGCGATTTTGAGAGGGGATTTTCATACCATAACATTGTGTAAGTATCTTTAATCAATTTCCAACTGTATTTCATGATTTTATACAAGATTTAACATCAAATTCATGAGAAATCTATGGCAAAATTTGGGGATTTTGTCAAAGTTTTGAAAAATGAAAATTTAGGATTTGAGAGTCGAATAGGACTCGGATTTGAAAACAAAATACATATTTGGACTCGTGAGGCTATGGGTAGTCAAACCCGGGTTTTGACCGGGCGGGCCCGGGGTTTGAGTTTTGTTGACTTTTGGAAAATCTAATAAAAATCGCAGCTTTATTAATTGAAATTATTTTCTCTTGCATTTTGTGATGTATTCAAGTCGTTGATGGCTAGATTGAGCCGGGCAGAGGCGAATTTGTTAAGGAAAAAGGCTAGATTGAGTCTTGAGTTAGCCTAATGGAGGTAAGTGTTTTGCCTAACTTTGTTGAGGGAATTTTTCCTCTTATTTGTCATTGTATGCTACATGCGGGGGTGATACATATACGAGGTGACGAACGTATATGTATGTGCCGGGGTTAATCATGCTCGGGGGGTGGATTATGTTATATTTGTGTTTGTAGAATTTTGTGACATTCTGCTTAATGCCTTACTTGACTCTTAGATACTATGGACATAATATTAAATGATAGATATCCAAAGTTAGTTTGTTATATCTTGATCAAACTTGATGGAAATTGTAAGAATACATTGATGTGTTCTCTATGCGAAATCATTACTACATTGCTACAACCGACATTCTTGAGATGCTAGACTCTATACTTGTGTTGTGGGTCATTTATGAGATTCGTGGAAGTATTTGAATAATACGGTTCTTGAGGGTTGTTGAACCATTGTTGACTTGAAAAGTTGTGATTTTGAATGTGTTTGGAATATCAGTTTAAGCAATCTCCTTGATGTTATTTGTGCTTCCTGCCTTATTTGTCATTGATACTCATATGCTTGGTAAGGAAGAGTGTAAAGCACGAAGGGCAATGCCGTGCCATTGTTTATATATTATCATGTGAGGGAGAGTGTAAAAGCACGAAAGGTGTTGCCGTGCCACATTATTGAGAGTAAAAGCACGAAGGGTGATGCCGTGCCATATTATTGAGAGTAAAAGCATGAAGGGTGTTGCCGTGCCACATTATTGAGAGTAAAAGCACGAAGGGTGATGCCGTGCCATATCATTTGAGATTAAAAGCACGAAGGGTGATGCCGTGCCATTTCATTTATATCATTATGCTTGTATGTTATCGTGAGGTCATGGCATGATGGGTGATTCTGTGCAGGAGAGGATGAGGGACATGCATTATGTTTGATATCAGTCTTCCGTGTATATGTTCTTGTCTTTACCTTAAACTGTTATTGTCATGATTATAGATCTGAGGTGATTTGTTGCCATTGTTCTGTCATGATCTCCATCTCAATTGTTGTTGTGTTGCTCATACCTTCTACTTGCTTAACTTGCAAATACCATTCCTATTTCTTGCTTTTATAATTATACTTATGTTGTATCTATTCTGTTGCACCTTAGTGTAAGCCTTCCACCATGCTAGTCATTCATGCCCTTACTTGTTAAATTGTAAAGATCATGTGTTTCCTTCTTGTTTGCTATATTTGTACTTAGGTCTCCACTATGCTAGTTAATTGAAGTTGATAATCTTTGCTTTCCCATTGGTTGTTATTACTCACGTGATTTCCGCCTAGTCTTTTACTGTTGCCCACATGTATATCCTTGTCCATTGTTGTTACTTGCGTATTTCCTATCATTGTGTTTCTGTCATATGGTTAGTTCTGTTATACGTTATTTGGAAGGATGAGTTGGACGCACGAAGGGTGTTGCCGTGCTAATCGAATTGTTACATAAATTTATTTATACATGGTGAGGATGAGATAAAAGCACGAAGGGTGTTACCGTGCCATGTTATTTGTTATTTTGGACATACTTCTCATACTAAGGAAGATCGTAAATCTTCTACTGTGAATCCTTTTAGTAATTGTTGACTGTCTCACCGAGTTGTATATGATACTTTTATCAGTTATGTTTTGAACTACTTGACTGCTAATCTAACGTACAGGTTATAACAATAAGCATGTTTTAACTAAAAGCCTCGTCACAACCTCGACGAGGTTAGACAAAATACTTAACAGTGGGGTCGGTTGTACTGATACTGCACTTCTGCACATTGCGTGCAGATTTTGGAGCGGAGCTGCTGGTGACGTCGGGTGCTGATTCGGAAGATGTTCGTGCGTTTGGCTATAGCTGCCACTATTCCTTGGTAGTTTAGAGTATTGCTAATCTGTTTATGTAACCTTCAAACAGAATGTGTATTTATTTGTATCAGTTTTGAAATTGCAAATCTTAGAAGCTCGTGATTCGTACTACCAGGTCTTGGGTAAATTTGTAAATGTTCAGTTATCTATTCTCTATTCTCTTATAATCTCATTTGAGTTGTATTTTTGTTAGTTGGCTTACCTAGTGGGTTGAGTTAGGTGTCATCACGACTTGTGGTTTTTTGGGTCGTGACACTCTACCAGCCTGTCTCATGAACTTAGAAGAAGTAAATGGAGAGAACTTGGCGGAGTGGGTGTTGGCTCTTGAAGGCCAAGGGTTCTGGGAAAGAGCTCGAATTGAGTCTTTGCACTTAGAAGAAAGAAAGACTCTGCCAGCCAAATCATTGATCGAAGATCCACCGCTGTTGGAACTGAAACCACTACCACCTCACCTCAGGTATGCTTTCTTGGGACCTAACTCAACTTTACCTGTTATTATCTCATCTAGTTTGTTAGATGTGCAGGTAGAACATCTTTTGCAGGTGTTAAGAGAGTGAAAAACTACAATTGGTTGGACCATTACAGACATTAAAGGTATCAGCCCGGCCTTCTGTATGCATAAGATTTTACTGGAAGATGGGCACAAACCTTCTAGAGAACATCAAAGAAGGCCGAACCCCAACATGAAAGAAGTCGTGAAAAAGGAGGTGATCAAGTGGTTAGATGCGGGAATCATTTTCCCCATCTCCGACAGCAAGTAGGTTAGCCCAGTTCAATGTGTGCCAAAGAAAGGTGGAATGAATGTGGTGCAAAACGAGAACAACGAGCTGATCTTGACAGGAACAGTCACAGGATGGCGAATTTGTATGGACTATAGAAGATTAAACAAGGACACCCGAAAAGACCATTTTCCCCTGTCGTTCATTGATCAGATGTTAGATAGATTGGCTGGGAGGTCCCACTTTTGCTTTATGGATGGATACTCGGGGTATAATCAGATCTATATTGCCCTGGAAGATAGAGAGAAAACGTCATTCACCTGTCCATATGGCATCTACGCTTTCCGTAGAATGCCGTTTGGCCTATGTAATGCACCCGCCACATTCCAAAGGTGCATGATGGCCATCTTCTCAGATATGGTAGAGGACATAATGGAAGTCTTCATGGATGATTTCTTAGTGGTGGGAGACTCGTTCGATGACTGCCTTAGGAATCTGAAAAGAGTGCTGAAAAGATGTATGGAGACTAATCTGGTGCTAAACTGGGAAAAGTGCCATTTCATGGTACATGAAGGTATAGTCTTGGGGCACCTAGTGTCAAG